CTCACACCTCCATACACATGTGTACAGGGCACACATGCAGGTACTATAAATACATGTGTGCACACAGGCTCACAACTTTATATACATGTATACAGTGCACACATGCAGATACTATAAATACATGAGCACTCAGGTTCACACCTTTATGCACATGTGCACAGTGCACACATGCAGATACTATGAATCCATGTGTGCACACACATGCATTGCACACATTTGGATGCAGACACATACACGTAAAATCACAGATACTGTGTACATTAGCGTACTTGTGTGCGTGCACACACAGCCACATCCTGAGTCTGACCTATCACAATCTCTCCTAGTTTGTCGCGTGTCTTGAGATTGGGGTTAAAATGCTTTCCCAAGAGATGGATGCTTGTCTTCCCGGGTCACTGTGCATCTTTTCTTGCTTCTGGGTTTTGTTGAGTTAGAAAGTCCCCTTGAAAAGAGGAAAGCCAGCAGCCTGCCACCTTCAGCTGGCACTCACAGGTCTGTCCCAGGCCCCCATCTTGACAGGCTGCCCTGCGTGTGCGAGAGGCTCCCTGAACTCCTATTCCCCTGCGGCCACCTGCCCTGCACTTCCTCCTGCTGGACCCGGCCCCGGGGGGTGCCTTCTCTCCCGCCTGCGGGCATCCTGACAAGGTCTCCCCGCGGGCGCTGTTACCCCTCCCCCAGTGCCTGCCAGGGCCGTGCTGAAGCGTGTCCTCGGTGCTATCTGCAGAGGTGCTGAGCTGCCCGGCCCCGCTGCCCCCGCACCTCCTGCAGGGCTCCCTCAAGGTGCCCGGTTCCCCTCACTTGTCAGTGTTCAGCCTGCTGCAATTGTCCCAGGGCCTGTTGGACCACCGTCCTCTGGCTGCTTACACACGTGTGTGTGCACGCTGCACGTGTGCACACATGTGTGAAGGGATGTCCACTTCTGTGCCACCTCACACCTTCCTTTCCCTCAAGGCCTCTGGACGCCCCTGGAGAGCCCGGGCTGTGGCAGAACTCACAGCTGTGCGTGGTGGGCAGCCCTGGCCCCTCTGGCCTTGCCCCAGGGACATGGCTAGTGGTCGCAGGGCTGGCTTCTGACCGGGGGAAGACCTCCATCAACCAGCCACTCTGGCTGCGCTGCTTGAGGATGGCCCCAGAGAGGGACGCAGTGGAGTTGAGTGCAGCTGGACCCAGGACCAGGGCCTGGGCCAGCAAATCAGAAGTGCCACTTGGGCAGGGCTCAGCTGAGCCACTGCGGGTCACCCAGGACAGAAAGACCTGAGGTGTCACATCAGTGGAAAGAGACAAAGGTCTCAGAAATGCTAAGAATGCGAAGCCCCCCCAGGTCAGTGGGGCTGTTCTCATGTCACCTGAGTGTCCCAGCTAAACTGGGAGCACTTATTACTGCCGGACCCTGAAGGTGCAGCTCGACCCTCCACACCAGTGACACCCGTGTGGCCGTGGATGGAGGTACCAGGCTGCAGGTGGCAGGCTCCCCCTCAGCCCTCCCCTCTTCCTCTGCGCCCCCTGCTCCGGGCAGCTCGTCCCCCGCCCTTCCTCCCCTGGCTCCCATGCTGCTCTCCCTGCAGCCTCATCAGGACTGGCACGGTCCCTCTCTGTCACTCCGGCGGAGAAAGCTCTTGTCCAGACGCAAGTTCCCCCAGTCGGTGAAACCACTGCCCACGGGAGCCCCCCCCCCCGGGTTCTGCTGGGCCGACTCCCCCAGAGGCTCAGAGAAAGACCTGAAGATGGGTGGACCTCGAGCCCGCCTCCCCCGGCCCTGAGGCTCAGCTGTGGAGGGAGCGCTCCTTCACAGCTGCTCAGCGGGCGCACTGCACAACCAGCCAGCTCCCCGAGAGGCACCCGCACCTTCGTGCCCAGCCGGCCCCAGGCGGCCCCAGGAGGCTCTGGAAGCCAGTGGGGACAGATGGCTGCCTCCGGACGGCTCAGTGGGGAAGGTGCCCTCAGCCCCAGGGCCCTCGAGTTTGCTGTCCAACAGACCCAGAAACCAAACGCCAGTCCCTCCTGGCTCTGTGGGCTCACCACGCCTGCCTGCCGTCCCATGCCCCCGTCCTGAGTCCAGGGTGCCCTGTCCCCAGACAAACAGGCCACAGCAGCGTTGGGCAGTCAGTCCTCCTCCTAACTGGAGAGGCCACTCCCTGACTACAGATCCATTAGCAAGGGTCACTGGAAGGACTTCAGGAAGTGGGCTCTGCAGCTGCTGCCCGGGCGTCCAGGAGGCCCTGGCAGGGACATCTGTGAAACCCACCCGCAGCAGCCGGGTCTGGGGACTCAGTCCCCAGCAGCCACCCAGACGGTCTACCACCCCAGATCCTCACAGGACGGGGACACCTACTGATGTGAGACCCCTTCTCCATCGCACTGCCCCCTGCCCAAACCCCCCTGGCCAGAGGGGCCAGGAGTCCCGCCAGAAGGGACACAGATGCCTCTCCTCCAGGACTGGCTTCACAGACACATACCATCCACCTCCCTCCTGACCCCTCCAGGCTGGCCCCACCCCTCCCTGTGCTCCCAGGGGTCACCATCCTGCACCCACAGCTCTGCCCTTTAACCCTTCTGGCTGCCCGAGGCTAAGGAGGGCTTGAGGCACAGAGTGCTCTGGAGCAAGGCACGTGTGCTGCCACCCCAACCTCTCTGCACACTTGCCTGTGTACATACATGCACATGTGTGCAAGCTTGTGCACACGTGAGTATCTGCATTGTGCACACGTGCACGAACACACATGTGAGAGCATTTTGTGCACGTGTGTGAGCCTGTGTGCACATGTGTGTGAGCCTGTGTGCACATGCACATGAGTGTGCTATACACACATGTGAAAGCATGTGTGTGCACACCTATGTGATTATGCACACACATGCACGCATACATGCACATGTGTGAGTGTGTACACACCCGTGGGGAAGCATGTGCATGCACATATGTGGAAGTGTGCATGCATGTGTGTCGTGTGCATGTGTGAGAGTGTATACGTGCACATGTGTGAACACGCGTGTGTGCGTGCATGGGGACGGGGGTTGGCAGCCAGCACACTCTCTTTGCCTCCTGGCTGTGAGGAACCAGGCAGACTCTAGAGCTGGCAGTGAAACTGATGGCCTGTGGCTGCCTGGGGCCAGCAGGAGCAACTGCCCATCAGTGGAGAAAGAGCAGGCCCAACCCCTGGGGTGTTCTCTGGCTGTCTCTGGAGACTGACACTGTAGCCAGCTCAGATAACGGTGGAGCCACGTCTGAGGACCAGATTCCACCATGCAGAGCAAAAGGGAGGCCCTTGGAGAGGAAACGGTGCAGGTCTGGGGTTTGTTCCTCCAGATGAAGGAAGGAAGCGGAGGGAGACGCAGCAGGACTGGCCCTGAGCTGACAGCATGTCTCGCCTACAGGGGCCCAGGCTCACTCTGTTCTTGTCTACTTTCACATTTGCTTATGATTTTTATGGTAGAATTCTAAAATATAAAGCCACCAAGAAAGCCATGTTCCTCTGTATCCGGACACTTAGAAACACTGCAGTCCTCCTGATCTATGTCGGAGACGGCCGCCTGACCTGCTACTAAGGAAGAGCGCCGTGGCCGCCCTTGAGGCCTCGTGGGCCCAGCTCTGGGCCTGCTCCCGTGCAGCAGCTCATCTGCACACACAGGGCACAGCTGAGGTCCTGAATAGTGCCATGCCGCAGGGTGGACAGGGGATCAGCAGTCAGCACATGTGCTCAACATGCCCAGTTAGCCCAGGACACCTCCAAGAGGTGAGACCCTGTCAGGGGATCCGGGCCGAGGACCTGTCTGCAGGAGACCTGGGCCCTGGCAGCTGTGGCCACGTTCAGGGCCACCTTACCCCTGTGAGTTCCACATTTTTTTTTTGGCAAAGCCAGACTGAGCAGGAAGAAACTCTCCTCTCTGCAGGTGATGATCTTGTGGACAGGAATCCCTGGGGATCAGTGGAAAGCCATTGGAAGCAACAGAGTTCAACAGGGTACAGGACGAACCCACGAGACCCAGAGGCGAGGAGGATCCAAGCATTAAACGAAGAAGGCGACATCCTTCACGTGGACTTGGAGAGACTCAGCCCACTGGGGAGAGATCTGGCCAAATTTAACTTGCACTCCAAAAACAACAGAAAGATTCTGAAAGAAACTAAAAGCCTAAACAAAGGGGAAATGTCTGGTGTTCCCACATTGCTACCAGGGGACAATCCTCACGTCCACCTCCAGGTCCAGCACGTCCCTACGAGCCCCGGTGGGCTCCCTGCAGAGGTCAGCCAGTTGATTCTGTGCCCATTGGAATCATAAGGGAGCAGCTTCACCAACAGGATCCCGACCAGGAAGACGAGCCAGAGGGCGCAGCCTCTGCGCCTCGCACTCACCACCTAGCTCGTCCTCCAGCCTGGCGCTGCCCGAGGACCGAGTACGTGTGCACGGGGGGCTGAGAGCCAGAGCTGAACCTCACATTCATGACCTGCTGCTCTCGACAAGAGAGAAAGAAGAGCCTCTCCACGAGTGGAGCGCGAACAACCGCAAGAACACAAAAGAGCGGGCGTCCATCCCTCCTCGCGCCACGGCCGAATCCCCGCTCCGTGTGGGTCAGGCCTCAGCGGGGCCTGGAGACTAGGACACCCTCTAAGAAACCGCAGGCCTGGACTTCACAGTGCCTCTTGGGTATGGTACCAAAAGCGTGAACAAGAAAAGAAAAAATAGATGAATCAGACTTTGCCAAGTTAAAGAAGGACACCATCAAGACCTGGAAGCCAGCTGCTGGGTGGAACACGAGGCCACCACTCTCACACCTGGTCAGGGCCTTGAATCTGGCCACTCCAGAGGAAAAGAAAGCAACCCACACCAAGGGCAGGCGGCCCGCAGGATGTCTCTCCAGAAGCCAGCCCGGGAGCAGAGTTGGTGTTGGAGCATCGGGGACACCAAGCCAGAGGCTTCCCACCCTCCCTCAGCCAGGACAGGGAGGAGGGCAAGGCGGCCCTGGGGAGGACAGTGGGCAGGCTGCAGCCCTCACCCGCCTGAGGAGTGCCAAACGGGGCGGCCCCTGGAAAACCGTCTGGCCGTGCCCAAGCCACTGAGTATGATTCACTACAGGACCTGGCCGTCCTGGCCGTGGTGGACACCCAGAGTGAAAGCACGTACGTACCTCAGAGATTTGCACTTAGGCAATCGTGAAGTCCCTCACCTGGCCAGGGGACACAACCACTGGGACATCCACACAGGGGACAGTACTCATCCTTAAAGGGAAAGGAAATTCTAACACCTACTACAGCAGGGGGGCCTCGACACCACAGCATGGGGGGCCTCGACACCACAGCACGGGGGCCTTGACACCCCAGCACAGGGGCCTTGACACCACAGCATGGGGGGCCTTGACACCACAGCATGGGGGGCCTCAACACCACAGCATGGGGATTTCATACAACAGCACGGGGACCTTGACACCACAGGGGTAGGGGGCGGGGCTCGAAACCACAGCTGTGGGCCTTGAGAACATTATGCTGGATTTAAGAAGCCAGACACCAAACACCACACGGCACACTACGTCATCTTTGACGTGAAAACCCAGGGTAGGTGGCCCCAGGTGGTCAGCGGGTGCTAGGGCCAGATGGTGTGGGCAGAACCTGAAGGCTTCGGGTTCTTGTTGGCATGAAGATGCTCCAATGATGACGGGGGGGGATGCGCCTATGTCTCAGAGGGCAGTAGGGACCCTGGAGGTGTAGTGGGTGCATTTATGGGTTATTTCTCATAAAGAGGCTCTTTAAAAAATGGAAGCAAAGAAGTTGGCCTTGGAGGACAGTGCAGCCCCCCGCCAGTGTGCGGCTCTGCCTCACTCGGACTAAGGCACGGGGCCCAGGGCTGCTGTGCAGGCGGACCTCTCATCAGAACCCAGCTGGCTGTGACCCTCCCCGGGGCCGGAGCTGCTCCGGTCTCCGGGAAGAGTGGGCATGCCGTACCATCTGTCTTCTGTTCTCCACCAGGTTGATGCCAAGGATTCCCAGGAAAGAGCCAAAGCCCAGCTGAGAGCCGAGAAAAAGCAAGAGAGAAGTCAGGTCAGCCTCATGCAACATGCAGGCTGTGCCACCCAGAGCCCTGGCACTGCACCCGGGGCAGAGGGCAGCCAGGCCCTGGGCCCAGCTGGGCGGAGCAGGGGGTGCTCCACCCTCCAGAGCCTCCAGGTTGCTCACAGCTCACAGGTGGGAGTGTCAGACCATGTGGAGAGAGGGGCAGGCTCTTCTGGACCCCTTTGACAGCTGTGGGTGGACAGCCTCTGTCTAACCTGGCACTTCTGTGGCCACTGGATAAATGCACACTGACCCTGCAGACCTTGGTCTCCATGGCACCTGAGGCTGGAAGGAGGCGGCAGCATCTAATCGTGGGGTGGCTCCCCCGCTTTGCAGTTCCACAGCCTTCCGCCCCTGCCTGCTCCGGGACTGACCACAGGAGCCTTGTGGTCTCTGCTCAGAGGGACCTGTCCCTGGGGAGCCTTCAGGAGCTGGTGTGTTAACGGCATTGACTTGCGTCCGCGCACCTGGGGCAGGCCTCGCGTGCGGCTCAGTGGGAGCCAGCTCCTTGCCCCTCAGAGCACAGGGCCTGCCTGCACTGAAGCTAACTTCCTTCTGGTCAGTACAGAGTTGGTTCATGCCCAGGACGTGTGCGGCTGGCAGAGTGAAGTTGGGAAATGCCCACTAGAGTTACGAATGCAACTCCAAGGAGGAAAACGTTAAATCAGTGAAACTTGCGAAGAAACAAAAACTCCGCCATGCGAGCTGTCTTGGTGTCTGCAAAAACCTTGGGATGGTGCATGTTCACAGCCACTGGCCCTGACTTCCAAGGCCCGAGGGAACAGGACAGAGGCTGGAAGAGGGCCCGTGTGCAGGACCTTGTGAGATTTCACCTGTTAGAGCTTGCTGTGTTGACAATGGTACAGGCACAGTCCTGAACAATGCACAGGGGGACACAGGTGCACAGGGGACACAGGTGCACAGGGGACACAGGTGCAC